AAATGAAAGCTGTGGCCTCCTGCCCTGCCCTGATCCCCTCAAAAAGACAGAGAGAGAGGTGTCTGAAGTTACCTTGGGTTTCCCAGACCCCAGGTTGAGAATCCCTGCTGTCATGGGTGGATCAAAAAGCATCCGTTGAGGTTAAATGGAACATTTTATATTATATATATTTTGCCACAAAAAAAAAAAAAAAACACTCTAGCAAATGCTGCACGGATGAACCTTGAAGACATCACACTCCATGAAAGAAGCCAGACACAAAAGGCCACACAGGGTGTGATTCCATTTCTATAGAAGGTCCAGGAGAGGCCAACCCACAGATGCAGGAAGGGGATTTGTAGGTGCTGGGCCCTGAGAGAGGGGGTCAAAGTAATAGCTAATGGAGATGGAGTTTCCTTTTGGGCTGATGAGAACGTTCTGGAATTAGAGGTAATAGTCACACAGTTCTGTTAATATACTAAAAACCAGGCCGAGTGTGGTGACTCACGCCTATTAATCCCAGCACTTTGGGAGGCTGAGGCGGTAAGATAGTTTGAGGCCAGCAGCACAGTTCGAGACCAGCCTGGGCAACACTGTGAGACTCCATCTCTACGAACTACAAAAACTGGCCGGACATGGTGGTGTGCAGTTGTAGTCCCAGTTACTTAGGAGGCGGAGTGGGGAGGATCACTTAAGCCCTGGAGTTTGAGGCTGCAGTGAGCTTTAATTACATGACTGCACTCCAGCCTGGGCAACAGAGCGAGACCCTGTGTCAAAAAAAAAAACCGAGGCGGGACACAACAGCCAGGTCTTGTTCTTTCTAGCCTTTTTTTATTAGCAATTACCATGTAACAGGAGCTTCAGAGCCATCTGCGGAGTTTGATTCAGAGATACGTGTGCTGGCTGAGACCAACGATCATTTGAACACACCAACCCCGGACCAAAGCCAAAAGTCGATTCTTCCAAAAAAGGTCAGAGCTCAGATTCCTACATCCCAGAGAGAAACCACTCAGGGGCTATGACACAGATGATACTGGACAGTTAGGGCAGGGTCTTGATGTGGAGCAAGTGGTCGTGAACTCTGCAATAAACTCACAAGACAGGAAGTAGCCCTTTTAAATTCCTGCAGAGAACAAGAGTTGGGACTCTCCTGCTGAACTACTTAAGAGGTTTTTGTTGTTGTTGTTTTAAGAGAAAGGGTTGGCCGGGCGCGGTGGCTCAAGCCTGTAATCCCAGCACTTTGGGAGGCTGAGGCGGGTGGATCACGAGGTCGAGAGATCAAGACCATCCTGGTCAACATGGTGAAACCCCGTCTCTACTAAAAATACAAAAAAAATTAGCTGGGCATGGTGGCACGTGCCTGTAATCCCAGCTACTCAGGAGGCTGAGGCAGGAGAATTGCCTGAACCCAGGAGGCGGAGGTTGCGGTGAGCCGAGATAGCGCCATTGCACTCCAGCCTGGGTAACAAGAGCGAAACACTGTCTCAAAAAAAAAAAAAAAGAGAAAGGGTTTTGCTGTGTCACCCAGGCTGGAGTGCAGTGGTGCAATCACAGCTTACTGCAGCCTCCAACTGCTGGGCTCAAGTGATCCTCTCGCCTTGGCCTCCCAAAGTGCTGGGGTTACTGGAATAAGCCAACATGCCCAGCCAAGTTTTTTCTTTCTTCCCCTCCCCCCCCCACCCTCCCCACCCCCGAGACAGAGTCTTGCTTTGTTGCCAGGCTAGAGTGCAGGGGCACAATCTCGGCTCACTGTAACCTCCGCCTCCCGGGTTCAAGCAATACTCCTGCCTCAGCCTTCCGAATAGCTGGGACTACAGGTGTGTGCCACCACGCCCGGCTAATTTTTGTAGTTTTAGTAGAGACAGGGTTTTACCATGTTGGCCAGGATGGTCTCAATCTCCTGACCTTGTGATCCACCCATCTCGGCCTCCCAAAGTGCTGGGATTACAGGCGTGAGCCACCTCGCCTGGCCTTTTCTTTTTTTTCAAATGTGAATTTTTTATTTCTACTTTAAATCCCAACTTAGCATGAACAATCATTTGCATTTTCAGAACAAAGAAGGTGATCTTCTGGCTAAGCTGAAAAAAAAAGAGTCATTACGGGCCTTCTGAGGCACCGTTCTACAGATGATGTTGCTTTTGCGGGTTGCACTATGAGAAATTCTGTGTGTACAAAATACCTGGACAGAAAGTGAAAGAAGTCCTCAGCCATCCAGGGGCAAATTCATTGAGTCATTGGATAAATACTTCCTGGGTGCCACTGGGGGCCAGATGCCGTCACAGGTGCTGTCATAGCAGCACGGAATAACCAGACCAAAGTCCTGTCCTCCAGGAGGGTGTCGCGTGACAGTCCAGGGAGACCCAGATAAGCAAATAACTGAACGTGATGATGGTTCTAGGTCCGCTGGGAAGGGTGCAGAGGCGGGTCAGCAGGGGCTGCACTTTCTCATGGGCTGGTCAGGGCAGGCCCCTGGCGGGATGAGGAGGAGGGTGAAGACACAAAGCTGGGGAAACGCGGGGAAACGCAGGGAAGCGCATTTGAGCAGAGGGAACTGCACAGGAAGGGCCTGAGGCAGGAGTGCCCGGAACCTGGAATGGTCCAGAAGGCAGCATGGCTAGAGTGAAAGGAATGAGGGGAGATGACGTCAGAGAACAAAGAGGGTGGAACAGGGGGCAGGGGACACTGTGATAAACGTCACAGGCCATCACAGGGGCTCCGGCTTGTCCCCTGAGACCCCACGGGGGTTTGCAGCAAAGGAGGGTCACGGACTGTGTTGCAATGGGGCCTCTTTGGCGCACTACACGGATGGAAATGGGGGCCAGAGCAGAAGGAGGCAGGCAGGCCCAAAATACAGAAGACTCAGGCCGGCGCGGCGAGGCGGTGCACGTGCAGGAGCATGCGCTGAAGGTCGGAAGAAGGAGAGGAGGCTGGGCTGGCTCTCCAGTTTGGGGTCAGCAGGCGGCCCTGCCTGCCGCGGGGAAGGCAACAGGATGAAGGGGCCTTGGAGGAGCGTGCAGGCACTGGGGCTTGGATCTGATCAGCCTGAGATGCTAGTCAGACACCCACAGGGTGTGCTGTACGCAGGGTCCGAGACTAGAGCTCCAAGAAAGGCCTTAAAATGGAATCAGAAACTGGGTGTCATCGACAGAGACTACTACTTTTTTTTCTTTTTTTTTAGACAGGTTTTCACTGTTGGCCAGGATGGTCTCCACCTCCTGACCACCCACCTCGGCCTCCTAAAGTGTTGGGATTACATCCTATTTTTTAAAGATTGAGATGGGAGTCCACACACTGTAACATCCCCCCTTTAAAGTGCACAGTTCGGTGGCATTTAATACATTTACACAGCTGTGCAAACATCACCTCTGCCTAATCTCAGAACGTTTCCATCACCCTAAAAAGAAACCTGTCCCCATCAACATTCGCTCTCCATCTCCTCCCCAGTTCCCCCTCCCCAGCCCCCAGAGCCACTAATCCATTTCCTGTCTCCATGGATTTACCTGTTCCGGAAATTTCCTAAGAATGGAATCATATATGGCCTTTTGTTTTTATTTATAGTTTAGAGGCAGGGTCTCGCTCTGTCACTCAGGCTGGAGTGCAGTGGCACGATCTCAGCTCACTGCAGCTTTAAATTCCTGAGCTCCACAATTCTCTTCCCTTAGTCTCCTGAGTAGCTGGGACTACAGGCATGTGCCACTATATCCAGACAATTAAAAAAAAAATTTTTTTTTTTTTTTTTTTTTTTTTTTTGTAGAGATGAGGTCTCTTGTTGCCCAGGCTGGTCTTGAACTCCTGGGCTCAGGCAATTCTCCTGCCTCAGCCTCCCGAATAGCTGGGACTACAGGGGCATGCCACCACACCAGGCCAAATCTCCCACTTAAATGCTGGCAACTTATTCAAATAAAGCAAGCAAAAAGCTCACCGCACAGGCGTGAGAGCCAAACACAGCCTGTAGGCTGTCAATTTTCAAAGTCTGACCCATACTGAGGAGGTGAGAATGACAGTTGAGAAACAAGAATTAAAAAGTCACAAAGTGGCTGGGTCCCGTAGTTCACACCTGTGATCCCGGCACCTTGGGAGGCGAAGGTGGGCTGATCACTTGAGGCCAGAAGTTCGAGACCAGCCTGGCCAACGTGGCAAGACCTCATCTCTACTAAAGATACAAACATTAAGCTGGGCATGGTGACTCATGCCTATATTCCCAGCACTTTGGGAGGCCAAGGTGGGAAGATCATGAGGTCAACGGTTTGAGACCAGCCCAACCCATATGGTGAAACCCCATCTATTTAAAAAAAAAAAGAAAAAAAAAAGTTGGCTGGGCAGAGTGGCTCACGCCTGTAATCTCAGCACTTTGGGAGGCCAAGGCAGGAGGATCATTTGAGGTCAGGAGTTTGAGACCAGTCTGGCCAACATGGTGAAAGCCTATGTTTAGGAAAAATAATAATAATAATTTTTTTTTTTTTTAGACAGAGTCTCACTTTTTCACCAGGCGCCAGGCTGGAGTGCAGTGGCACGATCTCGGCTCACTGCAACCTCCACTTCCTGGGTTCAAGCAATTCTCCTGCCTCAGCCTTCCTGGTAGCTGGGACTACAGGCGCACACCACCATGCCCAGCTAATTTTTTTTTTTTTTTTTTGTATTTTTAGTAGAGACAGGGTTTCACCATGTTGACCAGGATGGTCTCGATCTCTTGACCTCGTGATCCTCCTGCCTCGGCCTCCCAAAGTGCTGGGATTACAGGCTTGAGCCACTGCACCCGGCCAATAATAATTTTTTTAAAAGCTGGGTGTGGTGTCTCACGCCTGTAATCCCAGCTACTTGGGAGGCTGACATATGAGAACTGCTTGAACCCGGGAGGCGGAGGTTGCAGTGAGCTGAGATTGCACCACTGCACTCCAGCCTGGGCAACTGAGTAAGATCCTGTCTTAAAAAAAAAAAAAAGGTTACGTATTTACTCTCAGTAAAGCCTGCCCTTAACCACCAAGCCCGGGCTGTTTGCTTCTGCTGCTGTTCGGAGTCACCTGTTGCTGGAAGGAAGTGTGCCGCAGCTCCGGGACGGCTGCCGTCTCAATGACAACAAGCAGGGAATGGTGCTGCCTGCCTAGGAGGGGAGAGGAGCGCAGGCAGGAACGGGGAGCCCGTCCTAACACCGGCCTATGAACTGCCGTGACCCACGTCTTCAAGTCCTGCCTGGCACACCCACCTTCAGGCCCCAGGCTAACCGTCTCTTGATGGCTTTTTGGTCGGAGAGTTTGTTTGGGGAAGTCAAGCTTTTTCAGGCGCATCTTTCTAAACTGAATTTTGGAATACCAAGGTGGCAAGACCCACTCTTCTCATTTTGTTCCCGCGGCCACCAAACGCATGGGGACATCAAGGCCTAGGGAATGGAACGGACCCATCTGAGCTGCCCACGTCCCCTGGCCCGTGGCCCTTTCTGTAGGGCCATGCTCTCACTTGCTCCGAAGGGGCGCGGCAGACCCAGGTGTGGTCCACGCTTCAGAAGGACGCGGGGATATCTGCAGGTAGAGGCCGGGGACAAAATGTCTTAGGGACATCCAGGAAGACGGGTCATTCTCTGTCTGCATATAATGATACTTTCTATTGAAGACCGAACTGAATAACTCAATGGGAACATGCACACACAAAACCCCCCAAAACATTCAGAGTCCAAGGAAAAAATTAAATGAAAACAAAGATTTTCCTGGAATCACAGGCTGAGAAATGTCATAGTTCCTTCTTTCTTTCTTTTTTTTTTTTTTTTGACAGAGTTTCGCTCTTGTTACCCAGGCTGGAGTGCAATGGCATGATCTCAGATCACTGCAACCTCCACCTCCCGGGTTCAAGCAATTCTCCTGCCTCAGCCTCCCGAGTAGCTGGGACTACAGGTGTGCGCCACCATGCCCAGCTAATTTTTTTTTTTTTTTTTTTTTTTTTTTTTTTTTTTTGAGACAGTTTCGCTCTTGTTACCCAGGCTGGAGTGCAATGGCGCCATCTCGGCTCACTGCAACCTCCGCCTCCTGGGTTCAGGCAATTCTCCTGCCTCAGCCTCCTGAGTAGCTGGGATTACAGGCACGCGCCACCATGCCCAGCTAATTTTTGTATATTTAGTAGAGATAGGGTTTCACCATGTTGACCAGGATGGTCTCGATCTCCTGACCTTGTGATCCACCGCGCCCAGCCCATAGTTCCTTCTTTCTAAAAACAAGGACCTGGCCGGGCACAGTGGCTCAGGCCTATAATCCCAGCACTTTGGGAGGCCAAGGCAGGAGGATCGCCTGAGGTCAGGAGTTCAAGGCCAACCTGGTCAACATGGAGAAAGCCCGTCTCTGCTAAAAATACAAAAATAGCCAGGCGTCGTGGTGGGTGCCTGTAATCCCAGCTACTTGGGAGGCTGAGACAGGAGAATCACTTTAACCCGGGAGACAGAGGTTGCAGTGAGCTGAGATTGTACCACCGCACTCTGGCCTGGGCAACAGAGTAAGACTTCGTCTCAAAAAAAGCAGATCAATAAAAACAAGGACTCTTTCTTCCCGGACACGGCTCACCACCGACTTCTCTATCACCCCCACGGCAGATGCAGATGAAGGCTGAGGCCACCCGGCAGGAAATGGAAATACCACAGACCCTGTGACAGTTAATACTGAGTGGACTGAAGGATGCAAAGCATTGCTCCCGGGTGTGTCTGTGAGGGTGCCGCACAGGAGGGCAGCCCCGCCCTCGGTCCGGATGGGCGCCATCTGATCAGCTGCCAGCGCGCTGGAATAAAGCAGCCGGAGAACATGGAGAGCAGACGTGCTGAGTTTTCGGGCCCTCATCTTTCTCCCGTGCTGGGTGCTTCCTGCCCTCGGGCATCAGACTCCCAGTTCTTCGGCTTCTGGACTGGTGCCCTTACCCCAGTGGTTTGCAGGGGTCTCGGGTCCTCAGCCACAGACTCAAGGCTGCGCTGTCGGCTTCCCGACTTCTGAGGTTTGGGGACTCGGACTCATCCACCACTGGCTTCCTCGCTCCTCCTCAGCTTGCAGACGGCCTGTGATGGCACTTTGCCTTCCGAGAGTCGGTTCTCCTTAATAAGCTCCCTTTCAGGCAGACATCCAGCCTATAAGCGCTGTCCCTCTAGACAGCTCTGACTCTGCGGGCACCAGCTTCAGTGCCCAAGAGAACACCTGCACTCGGCGTTGTGAGCTCGGCGCGGCGGGTCCGTGACTGCGCACGGGGTCCGTGACTGCGCACGGGGTGAGCCACACCCAGCACGGAGGGGTGCAGTGCCTCAGGGTCCAGAGACGACGAACCCAGTGCAACGCCAAATGCTGCTGTGCGCGCCCCAGGCCTTCATCGGGGACAGTATCTTCAAGTCCGTTTTACCGGCAGGATGATTACGTGTCAATCACTGTGTGTACACACAACACACACACACCCAGCCAGTATTTCATCTTTCGGCACTTCTGTTCACAGGGGTTTTGTTTGGTAGAAAAACCCACAGTCCTCCATTTTGTCCCTCACTTCCTGGAGTCCGCCTGCAGACTCTATTCTGCCTGGTAGCGCAGGGCGGCCAATCACTGCTCAGCCTTAACCCGCCAAACCTAAAGCCAACCCCCACCCCCCACCCCTTGGCAGTTGCAGTAGTCTGCCTAGAAACAAGACAACCAATAAAATTCAAACCTAAGCCCGCCAAGAGGTGACCAATCCCCTTCTGGCACGCAGAAAACCCTCCTCTGCTCTCCCTTCCACCAACCAGCAGCTGACACCTCCGCCTAAACTCCGTCACCTTCCCGATATAAACCCATGTCTTCAGCCATTCGGTGCAGCTCTTCCCTCTCCCGCTCGAGTTGCCCGCAAACCCCAATAAACCTGGACTCGGCTTAACAACTCCTCGCTCTCATTTGCTTTGGGAAGGGTCTCTGTGGGTCGCACATTTTATATTCAAAATGCATAGTAAACATGCATACCCCTTAACAGTCCTGATTTTGTAACCTGGTTGTTTTTTTTCTTTCTGCCGGAGAGCCTCACTTTCCCCATCAGCAAAAACAGGCCTCACAACACCTAACCAAGGATCACCATGAGGGCTCAGTCAGTTACCAGGCTTCCGGGACTCACCTCACACAGAGAACTGCTAACAGAGCACGATGGGGTTCCAACCCCACCTCCCACTTCCTGAAACTCACTAGGGGAAGAAGTCCAGCTTACAATGTATGCTAATAGTGTCAGAATTCAATTGCAGGAAGTGCCTGTAACCCCAGCAGCACTTTAAAAGGGCAAGGCCGGAGACTCTCTTGAGGACAGTTCAAGACCAGCCTGGGCAAAACAGCAAGACCCTATCTCTACATAAATAAAAATCGCTAGGCATGGTGGCGTGCACCTGTAGTCCCAGCCACTGCAGGAGGCTGAGGTGGGAAGACTGCTTGAGCCCAAAAGTTCAAGGCTGCAGTGAGGCGAGACTGTGCCACTGCACTTAATGACCAGTGTGACATGCACAGAGCCTGCTGGAGCTCCTCAGCTATTCTCAGCCAAAAAAGACAGAGTCCTGTTCTGTCGCCCAGGCTGGAGTGCAGTGGCACCATCTCAGCTCACTGCAACCTCTGCCTCCCGGGTTCAGGCGATTCTTCTGCTTCAGCCTCCTGAGTAGCTGGCGTTACAGGCTCACGCAACCATGCCGAGCCAATTTTTTGTATTTTTAGTGGATACAGGGTTTCACCAGGTTGGCCAGGATGGCCTTGAACTCCTGACCCAGGAGGCGGAGGCTGCAGTGAGCCGAGATGGCGCCATTGCACTCCAGCCTGGGTAACAAGAGCGAAACTCCGTCTCAAAAAAAAAAAAAAAGCATTGTGAGATTCATAAGACCATACAAAATAAAATAATGATAATCAGCATTACCAACAGGTAACGGTAAACTTTTCTTTTCTTTTCTTTTCTTTTTTGAGACGGAGTTTCGCTCTTGTTACCCAGGCTGGAGTGCAATTGGCGCAATCTCGGCTCACCGCAACCTCCGCCTCCTGGGTTCAGGCAATTCTCCTGCCTCAGCCTTCTGAGTAGCTGGGATTACAGGCACGCACCACCATGCCCAGTTGATTTTTTTGTATTTTTAGTAGAGACGGGGTTTCACCATGTTGACCAGGATGGTCTCGATCTCTTGACCTCGTGATCCACCTGCCTCGGCCTCCCAAAGTGCTGGGATTACAGGCTTGAGCCACCGCGCCTGGCCGGTAAACTTTTCTTATGCCTTCAAGAGTGAATGTGCATCCAGTAATTTTTACTGACCAACAATTAAGCAGTTCAGATACCAACCCTATTTATGGATGAAAATGCAAGGAAATCTGCCCCCAGGGCTATGGTTATCATTTTTTGCTCATTTGTCTTAGAGACAGTGTCTTGCTCTGTTGCCCAGGCTGGAGTACAGTCACAATCCGACAAACTCCTGGGTTAAGGTAATCCTCCTACCTCAGTCTCCCAAGCAGCTTTGACTACAGGTGCACACCACCACATCCAGCTAATTTTTAATTTTTTTTCTTTTTGTTAAAATTTTATGATTTATTTTTCTGTTTTCTTTTTCTCTTTTTAACTTTTTTATAGAGATGGGGGGTCTCGTCATCTTGCCCAGGCTAATCTTGAACTCCTGGCTCAAGCGATCCTCCTGTCTCAGCCTCCTAAAGTGCTGGAACAACAGGCATGAGCCACCGTGCCTGGCCTGGGTGTCAATTTTATAAGTTAAGAAAACCTACCCAGAATGCCTAAGAAATAAATTGTCTTTGCTTTGGCAATTCCTGAAACAGGCTTTGTAAATACCATTGTCCAAATGCTGCCATAAAATTGGTACACAAAATCTGTTATCTGATCAGTTTTCTCACGGCACGTTACATGAAACATATGTACTTTTTGTTTGAGACAGTCTCACTCTGTTGCCCAGGCTAGAGGGCAGTGATGTGATCTCAGCTCACAGCAACCTTCGCCTCCCAGGTTGAAGCGATTTTCCTGCTTCAGCCTCCCAAGTAGCTGACATTACAGGCGTGCGACACCATGCCCAGCTAATTTTTAAATATTTACTAGAGATGGGGTTTCACCATGTTTGCCAGGCTGCTCTCAAACTCCTGACCGAAAGCAATCTGCTTGCCTCGGCCTCCCAAAGTGCTGGGTTTACAGGTGTGGGGCACCGCGCCCCGCCAAAACATACGTATTTTAAAAGCAGCCCAAGCTTCCAAACAAAAGTCATTTCCCGCAAGAAAGAATGTCCAGTTGACCTAAAGTCATTCGACTAATGCATAGCATCTTGTTTATGGTTTTGTGAGACCAA